CCTGGAGAGAAATATCCCTAGAGCATCCGGAGCTTCGAAGAGGTATGATCTGATGCGACCGACGTCGAGAGATGAAGCTATAGACAGCCCACACATTATAAACGGGTTTCACGCGCCGTAAATATCGCCATTTGCCACTACACAAACCGAGAGTGCCCTTGAAGCTATTTCCCGTCACCCGCCAATGACTGCTTACGTTTCTAAACACTCTCCTCTTCGCGCGTGCATGTGTCTCCTCGCCCTTTTCCTGCGTGTCGGCATCGAACCTTGCGGCTTGATACAGACACGATAAGTAACCTAATGCCTTTCTGACCATTTTGCAGCGTGTTAGTAACGTAGGTGGCGTGCAACTCAGTCATTATATGCTAGTTAGTGGGCATTTGAGAGATAGCTTTCCTGGGCGTGCTCCGGCGCGTTAAAATTACAATTCACCAGTGTGTACACTCTGAAAAAAAAAGGGAGCAGTACTTCCTCCCTTAAAGGAGGAACTCGCGTGTATCATATATTGCTTTACAAAGGGAGGAAATTTCCTCCTACGAAACGGGAGGAAATCCCCCCCCCCCCCCCCCCCCTGGGAAGGGAGGAAAGTTGCCACCTATTTTTGATCGTGGAGAAAACGTTCATCCCCTAAGAAGGGAGGAAAATTGCCACCTTTTTTCGCCCAATGGAGGAATGTACTTTCTCTCCTCGTGTAATTGATATACCTTCCACCAGATGGCGCTCAAAACAGAAAAAAAATGTTGGTGAAGTGCCAATTTGTTTTCCAATGTCCCCTACCCTTGAACGCTACATGGTAAATACACATACAACACCGAATACACAGAATACACGAAACACAAACATTACACCCCACAACAGCAACAACGCAGCGACACCGAACCCCCACCCCTCTCCACGTACGCTAAGTTCGCACTCTCTTTATATATGGCAGTCTTATTTTTGAATCCGACTTGGCCGGTGACTGCCATCATTTGTTGCCATCATTCGTCGCATAAACACGAAAAGACGGAGCAAATATTACTGGTACTTCATACATTATTTCACTTGTCTCTTGGAATAGCCCCCATCTCTTAATTCTACACCCTTATCAGAGCAAATGTAGATCATTAGGCTAATCAACTAAAATTTAATGATTCGTTTTTTAATAAGTTCGAAGAATCATGTTGGCAATGCAGTGTTGAAATGCAGTACACTGGTGCTGAAATTTGCCACCACGCTATTGCTTGATTGGAGTGTTCAGTGCCAGTGTAATCTATTTTAAGTTTCGGTGGGGGAATAATTAATTTTAATTGTTGCACAAGCATTTCAACGAATGTTTTAACCAAAAAATATTACTAGTTTTGACAAGACTCGTTGCAAGAGCAGAGGACATATCTTGGGTCATGCTTTGTCACCCGTAATAGAGAAATTTAATATTGTTTTAATTTTCTAACCTGGAGCGTTTTTCCTATGAAAAGTAAGTGCCGGGAGCGACAAGGACCCACGAACCATGACTTTCGTATCGCAACCGCTTGAAAACATCACGTTGCCCAAATCAGAAAGTTAAAAAGCCCGTGTTGAGAGCTTTAGATCGTTCAGTCATTTCCGCAACTCTATAAGCAATCCGTTATGGGTATGGCCTCCGCCATATATACCGTAGCGGAGCCGTGTTTTCATGTTTGCGAAAACGTTTGCAGCCCGTTGCAGAATATATCGTTACAATAGCTAACGCAATGCAACTATTTCGGACACTAAAGCTAAAATGAAAGGCTGTGCAGCAATTGTTAGTAATCTTCTATTCATGTCGCTATCTAAATAGAATGTTAATAGTAAGCTTATGTTCATCCTTGCTTCTTTTAAAAGTACGTCCAGTACATTGGCGACGAGTAGACTTGAGATCCACGTTGTTGACGCCGGGTCGCTTGGTCGTGAACTACAGCCGGCCACCGCTCGTTTTGCGACACGAGAGAAACCGCACGATAAGGGACTAAGTGGGCCGCATAAAAGGAAACAAAAGTGCGACGGAAATATTTGTTCACTTTACTTTTTTTGTTGTTGTTGCGAGTGCCTTATTTGATATGTAGCACACAGTAGCAGGAGATGCCGCACAAACTAAAAAAGCGACTGTGAAGCGTCCGCTGTAGTGAATCATCCGTTCCTTCAAGACCACGGATCCGGCCTCCCTCCCCCCCCCCCCCCCCCCCCCCTTCGCCCCGCAACCAGAATGGAATGTCTGTACTACCCTTTCTTCCAAGTGGACTCTTCCCGAATGAATAGTTGACCTTGTCTCCCGGATTTGTTGCTTCGTTCCTTCGCCGAATCGTTATATCAGTGTCTTTTCTTGTGCGGGGCTCAGGTAGTAAAAAAAAAAATCGCGTGTTCCCGCAAGCCGGTCGTGGTCCCGATGTTGACGGACTACAGCGTGTGTCGGACGAAGTCGCTCGCCACAACGCAACGCTCGTTCCTATGGACTGGATATGCTGTTCTCTTTTACACAGAACTGAAATAAACGCCGCACGGATCACCTTTCGCTGTATGGTACGTACGCTTTATTTCAAGAGTATATGTTTCTCGCGGATGTGACGGGGCTGAAATAAACGCCGCACCGATCACCTTTCGCGGTATGGTATGTACGCTTTATTTCAAGAGTATATGTTTCTCGCGGATGTGACGGGGCTAGGAACGTATAGACGTGTCGACTCGAATAGAGCAGTGATCTTAGCAACTACGTGATCAAGGGAAAAAAATCCACGCTTTTGACGATTATTTCTTGTGCGCCCTACTTGTTACTGAAGTTAAAGCAAATAGGCAAGCGAGTTGGTTACGGATCGATAGTTTCGTGTCTGTCCGTCATTTTTTTGTTCTCTCGCTCCAGGGTCACTATGTCTACTTTTCATGTAGCAAGTAACGCGACGAAAGCGGTCGCACTTGCCATGCCAGTGATAAGTCGCCACCTGTACTTATCGCAGCTGCAAGGTCTCATCCACTATGAATAAGCGCGATCTCGAAGCGGGCACATACGGCGTGATTCTTGCGAGACGCACGCCGCGCCACGCGCATCGCTTTTTTTTTTTTTTTTCTTAAACTAGCGTACCTCCGCTAGCCCCCGCAGCTCCGCTTTTTCTCCTAGCATCGCGCATGGGCAGTAGTGGGATTGCTCTAGGTCACAGTAACCAGGCCCTCAAGTTGCCGTCACCGCCAGTGAACATGTTCGCAGCGGCAGCGGCGGTTCGACCGCTGCTGCCGCCGCGAACATGGGGGAGGAATTTTCGTCCCTTTTTCAAGGTCACCATGTTGCGCTGCATCTAAATCGGTGAAATGGAGGAACGGGTGCGATTTCCTCCCTTCCGTAGACGACAGGGAGGAACATCGCTTTTTCCTCCATTTCTCCTCCCTTTTTTTTAGAGCGTAGCACAA